ATATACATTGTTGTGCTCACATGACCCAGGTTAGTCTAGTCAGATATTTGAAAAAAATTATATTTTGTGTATATTTTATTAAAATTTTGTGTCTTATCCATAGGACCTGTTTTGTCCCTATTCTCAAGAATCACTACAAATACATAAATATAAATACTCCAAAAATTTATATTGAAAAATGTAAACAGTTTGTCACTACACTGGTTTTTTTGAGAAGTTTGTCAATGAAGAAATCATTTTTTCATGATTACCTTTTCTTGCCACCATTGGTAGCCTAAGTTCCATTTGTTTCTTGTACCGCAGCTTTAGACTAATGAGGAAAGAGCTTGTCTTAATGTCAGTCTATCTTGCAACCGCCAGGGGGCATCAAGAAAGCATAAATGAACAACATTGCAGGTTTTTGTTTTTAAGATGCACTTTGAGGTTTTTACTGTATGTAGACTTTCAGCAATTTATGCTTACACAAACTATTTTAACCTTTTCAAGAACTCTGAGTTTCTATTGACTGTAAAACCACCCTGGCCTCAGACTGGAGATGTTTCATTCAACATTCTGAGATGTCAAATCTATTGGATGAGCAGATTTTACGGTGCTAAATTTATACATTTTAGAAATATTGACAAAATCATAATGAGACAATAGGTTAGAAAATATCTGGCTCTCTGTAACGGAAGTAAACAAATGCATCAGAACAGAAACCAGATCCCAGGCCTTCATCGCTGACAAGCTGGATGGTCTGTACTGAAACTAATCTTGTTGTGCTTCTGTACAATAACAATAGATGCTATATGTAACTCTGTCAGATGGTGTGGGCTGAACCACCTGCAGCTCAACCTGACAAAGACTAAGGAACAGGATATATATGCATAGATCATAAACTTTATATTTTATTCTTTTATGGTTATATTTGTATTGATGGAGTAGCTTGTCAACAAATAACAAATAAGCTATTTCCCTTTGGGGATCAATAAAATATTCTATTCTATCTGGAAAGATGTATTTTCTGTCCCAACATCATAAAAACTTAAACAGGTTGAATTTCCACTAGACCCTTACACAGAGCCGTCTGCTTTGGTCAGTTGAGACCAAGATTGAGCTTTTCAACATTTTAGGTGAGTTTGGTATAAGAAAAAGATTAGATGTTTGGAAATGGCCCTTATGCCTACGGTTACGTTTGGTCGTGGATCTATGATGCTGTGGGCTTTATTCTCGTCTATAAACCCTGACCTTCTTAGAGTGAATAGTGTCATAAACTGCAAAATCTTGCAAGCTCTGTCAGAAATTTGTCAGAGATATGCTCATTGTTGAATTTTGTTTTTACAACATAGGCATTGTTGTGGGAATATATGTGACTGTTTGGGTATTGGGCAGCCAAATGCAAAATAAAGCATAGAAAACACAGGATGATGTACAGAAATTGGGCAAGGAGGAATGGATAAGAGTCATAAAGTCCAACATTGTATGTTATCAATGAAATCCAAGTGCTGTCCTGTTGGCATAAGGGGGATTGCACATATTATGAGATAAAGCAAGATTTCACATAAAGTAAAAAGAAAAAAAGCATTATTCTAGATTTTCTCAAATTGAAGGTGGGAGTTTGTAAATAATGATTTGAAAAAGAAAAAAACAACGTCTTTTTTTTTCATATTTCTTACCAGAGATGCTAATAAATATTACCTGCAATGATGGACACATTTTACAGATTTTTTTTAAGTAAAAAGTCCATATAAGAAAACACACATACCCTGATGTCGTCTCAAATCATAAAACTTTATTTTCTTGCAAAAATAATCCATCTCTCAGCACGTCGTTGACTGCAGACGGTTCTCCAGAAGAGATCCACGCTGCTGGGATGGGGTTCACTCTAAATTAACCAACAAATCAAGCTGCGCTCAGTCACTGGCTCCACCTGGACTGTCTGCATGCCGATTAGTTGCAGTAGTTCTGCAGGTCAAAGATACTGCAGGGCCTGTGGCAGCACTGCTCAACGATGCCTGTCCTCTTAACCATCATCTCCATCTGGTCCTTAAAGGCCAACTCAGCCACCTCGTTCTCACCGCCGTGAGTCGACCCTGTGCCTGTCTTTGAAGGGAGGAACCCTGGAGGAGCAACAACAAAGAGAAGAAAGGGTTCAAATAGGAAATCATTGACTTGAAACACTGGGGGGGGGGGCATGTTGTTGATTGGTATTAAAAAAGGTAACAGTCACTTATCATATAAGTAATAACAATATATAAAGAAAATAACATATATTTTAGAATCCAACACAAGAAGGAAGCAGAACTGAACATCCCAACCTGAGTGGGACAAAATGGATTCACAATTTGAAGGCTTAGTTTAAATAAAGGGTTCAGAAGACCACAAAGAAGAGCAAAGATAAGAATATTGTCACTTTTCTCTAGTAATTGCTGTCTTCGTTTTTCGCCAAAGGTGATTTTGGCAACAAAAAAAAAAAAAATGAATTAGGTCATTATTTTAGGTAGGTGACTATAAGAGAAAGAGTCACAGATGACCAGAATAATTACACAATATATGCTTGGCAACAAGGAAGAAACCCCTTGAAAAGCTTGCTTGGAACAAAACATGTTTAAAACAGACATAACATAGTCACAAAAATAAAGAGATAAAAAAAAAACCCACTGCACATAAAAGAGTCAAATTCCTGTTCAAAAATGTGATTTCCAACACAAAAGTCCTGCTCAGAGATTTTAGAGTTACTATTTTGTTTCTTTACTTAAAAAGCTGGGGATTTTTTTTCTCTCCAACAAATAAAAGTGGTAAAGTTTTGATGTCTCACCCAGGAGATGGTCCACATCCCTCTTGGGGCTGTAGAAGAAGCCTCTGTCCCCACAGACCAGGTAGAGAGCATCAACCAGGTGAGAACCGCATAGATGCTGCGGCGGTGCGACGCCCTGGGAGCCGGGCCACGATACAACCAGTAAGACCAGCAGAGAGAAGGACTGGAGCCACAGTGCTGCCATGCTGGAGGAGAACTGAAGACACACAGACAGATTCTTTAGACAAGAGCAGCAAAACAAAGAGGAGGTCATCTGGAGAGGTGGAGAAGAATCACTCACTTGTCAGGAGTCTAAGGAGGAGGTGAAGCTCTGATGAAGACGAAGAGCAGAGGCAGCTGAGAGCTGGTTGGTGTGAGGCAGAGTGAAAGGAGTCGCCTCCTTTTATAACCCAACACTTCTTCAAACACAAGCCCAACCCCACTTTCTCAGTTCTTTAGTTTTACAATGGAAACATGCATCTGATGAAGCAATTCAAGGCATAAGTTCATGATAAAAACAAAAAGAAAAACATTCTTCATGTCACTTGTTTTATGTAAACAAATCAATGTAAGTCTGACTTAGTCCAAAAAGACTTAGAAACTATAATGATGGTGTGACGTCTGTGAACTAAGCTGCTGGTCAGCATATGCTCAGTACCACTTTGTATTTCTAATTGAGTGGTTTCAGCACTTACTCAAGCAAACAAGAGTTAATGAGCCAAAATAATCCAATCACCTCATACTGACAAATATTGATCTGCTAATAACCTTCTGCTCCATCTGCTGAATCAAAGAAGTTGAATCCAATCCCTTCCAAGTTTGGATTTCTAATCAATTTTCATCTGATCAGTGTTTGTGTTATTTTTCCTTTCTGGTCTGAAAAAGTGAACAAGATACAAATACAATTAGGACTTAAAGATGGAAATGATTGGGATTTGTTGCTTCAAAAACTGTTTAGTTAGTAGTTTTATTAAGAATCTTTTCACCTTACCTTCAGATCATAAGAACCACCAATAATGCTTTCTTCATGTCCTCACTGCATTTTTTAGGTTAATTGGAAAAACCAAATTACGATTTATTTACACTAGATTAGTGAAGGATTAGTCTACACCATGGACCAGTGAAATAGGATTTTTGCCTTCTACAACAAATTTTTACTTCAAGAATTTATTAAAGGGACGGTATTATGTATTTTCCAGGTACCTAGTGCCACTTTATAGTACAATCAAGTAACTGTGTTACCTTTAGTTATTAGAAAAATGCTGCAGATATCAAATATGACTTATAAGAAATTTGACTTCATAATTTAATGCCTTGAAATGGGATCTCTATCTCTTTAAAAATTCCTGTTCTTTCTCAAATTCAGGATATCATCACATCGCTCCTCTATTAACACTTTAACAATGCTTTCACTGAATAGTAGCTCGTATAATGAGCTCAGCAGTTGCGCCGTTCCTCCAGATGTTTAATAAATTCTGCTGACTAGTTTGAAGGAACTGAGTGAGGTAAAAGGTGCTCTGTGAGGCTGAAGCTCAGAAGCACAGAAACTGCAGCCACCCAGGCATTTTGCACAGCTGAATAGCTTCCATGGAGCTTAAAAGATTTCTCAAACAGGTAAAGAATCAAGGCAACTCTCCATGTTGTTGATGAGGGAATAACATTATACACATAATGCAAATCTAAAAAAAATGGCATAATGTTAGCCCTCTAAATGGCTGGAATAATGTTGCTCAGAGTGAATCTCCTTTGCAACAGAAAGGCAGGAAATTGCATACAAAATGGATCATTTATTTGCAAATGTTTAAATGAATGGAGCAGATAAAGATGTATAAAGCAAGAAAACAAAAGTATTGTTTTCCATGTATAAAACAAACCAAAATTCATTCAACCATTTAATATATAAACATGTAAGGAGCAGAAAAAATATTTAACAAGCAGAGAGTAAAGTGTCAGTGTGCTGGAGTTTTCTTATTTGTATTTAAAGTGGTAAATTACATTTAGCTTGGTGGTAAACTAAGCTTAAAAAAATTATTCACAAAAATATTTTTTGTAGTTTTGTGTAGTAGGACACACAAATTCTAGGACTTTATTTAGGATTTTGAATAGATTTTCATGTCAGTCTCTCTACTTGTGCCAAAGCCCAACACTTGTCTGAACATTGAGAACTACAAGTATGCTAAAAGCTTTAACCTTAAGACAGACTTAATCTATACCACAGCTCAAACTATTATACCACATTAGGGCAATTTGGTATAATAATGATTCCTATAAAAAATTTAGGTATGTGGTTACACTAGAAAAAGGTCCTACGTGCTTGTATAAAAACAAACACACACGCACACACACACACACGCACACAATGGATGTCACTGGGGTGCTGACGTAGCTTTTGTGAGAGGATGTTTGTCACTTTCAATGGAAACTCAATGGGTTGGAAAATGTTAATGGAAAACTTAGAAGATAGAACTTGGAATAGCTTTTGTGGAGATGTGTTTCATGTACTTTATAATACATAGATATATATATAGTAGATTGACAGCCCTAATATATTAGAACTGTCAATCAAGTAAAAGAAATCTAACCAGATTTTTACTTTAGAGCTGTGATTTATCAACTATACTCAACAAATCACCATTGAAATATAAAAGGGCATGTTGTCTTAAAAATGTTAAAGAAAATCTTTTGTTGACTCACACCAAACACCTCAGATTTCCAGGTTTGTTTCTTTTTTCTTTAATTAAGAAACAATTAAATCAAGTCATTTGTTCCAAAAGTTAACTTAGAAATGTTAACGATAAACTGGCTGCGCTTGATGGAAGAATAATTTATCATTGATATAAGTAGGCAACATGCTAGCTTGGTCTTATCCACTAATCCAGAGGTTCCCAAACTGTGGGACGCGCCCCCTAGGGGGTGCGCCGTACAGGGGTGTACAGGGGAGGGGGGCGCGGGAAGCCTTCTGGATGAAAAAAAAAAAAACATGAACACTGTATTTTTACCTTAGAATGGCCAACTCTCTGTTATTCCTCTGTCAATTTGATACAGGAGATGCTTCCACATTTCCCATATTTGTGTCCTCTGTCACTTTTATCAGCAGTTAAAACTGTTTAATCCGTTGTTAACATGTTGTAACCTGTTTTTCCGAGCCGCATGTAAACGCAACATGAGCGCTACGACGCTCGCGCTGGGTTTCCACCTGTGAAGGAGACCTGCTGCTGCTGTGCGGAGCTACGTAGGTTTGTGTTAGAATCACAGCAGCAAAACGCAAAGAACTTTTCACAGTTTTTCCCTCCAAACTAACCGACTGAGTTGAGTAAAGCTGCTGGATGCAGGTAATGTTAGCTAAAAGATGACTAGCTAATATCAATACAGCATCTTAATCTTACGTAGCCTATAGGCCACTGATGTTGTTGTCTATGTTCAGCTACATACATTCAGTTTACCCCCCCAAAAGTCCCCACCCCCTGTTCTTAGAGACAGGGAATCTCTAAGCATCTTCCCCCCCTTATCCCGCTCCCCCGCTCACACATGTGTTCAACTAGACAGCTATTTGTAATCCATAGGGGGGGAGGTCCAGAAAATGTTTGGAAACTACTGCACTAATCTGTCACTGTTTTTTCTGTGGTTGTAAGAGACAGGTTCCATCAGACACAGCCAGCTTCTTACCTTGTTTGCTGTCCAGCAGGTTCATTTTTATGAGGGCTTTTTTTGTGGGGAGTTTCAAGAACTGACGGTCTGACCCCCTGTGTGTCAGCATTCAACAAAATCATCTCTCAGCACCTGGTGAGCCGACCAGCTCCCCTTGGGCTCAACTCCCCCCGTGCAACTGGCTACTGGATTTCCTCGCAAACAGACTAGGTCTGTCCAGGGCCTGAGGGTTGGGAAAAATACTTCAAGGGTCATCTCCCTCAGCACTGGCTCCCTCAGGCCTGTGTACTGAGTTCACTGCTCTTCACCCTGATGACCCATGACTGCCATGCCAGATTCAGTATGAACCGTGTCTTAAAGTATGCAAATAATGCGACAATGGTTGGTCTCATCTGGCCTACAGAGAGGAGGTGAAACATCTGGTGGACTGGTGTGATACAAACCATCTAATCCTGAATGTTAAAAGAAATTGTTGATTTCAGGAAAAATCAGCCAAGTCACACACCCTTCCTCATCAATGATGCATACTGACCAGCAGTATCTCTAAGGTTTGGAACATGTAACACCTCTGACTGACAACGTATAGAGTGGTGAGGTCAGGAACTGAGCTTCCTTCCATCCTTGACACCGCTCCCAGTCGCTCCCTGTCCAGGGCTCAGCCAATCACAGAAGACCTCTTCCACCATCACCATGATTGGTTCTCCCTGCTGCCCTCTGGGAAAAGATTCAGCAGCTTCTAATGCAGAACAACCAGATTCCACAACAGCTTCATTCCTCCTGCCATAAGACTACTAAGATTAATTTAATCTTTTGTTGTATATATTTATATTGATACTTTTATTACTTATTATTGGAGCCTAGCAACAAAATTCCTTTCAATATGTACATTTTTAAATGTAGAATTGAATGACAATAAAATCTGTCTGTCATGTCGGACCACGACTGATGTGGAAACTGTCATGGAAGAAATTACTTTATCAAGAGTCTGGATGAGAAGAAAGAAGAAATGTATTAAAACCTTGCAAGGTGAGAACAAAAATACAGAGTCAAAGGAGTCTGTCAAGTCTGCTCTGACCAACAGTGGATCTGGCCTCCTTTTATAGGTTCTGGTCAGAGAAGAGAGACTTGATTGGACTAGAGGTGTGAATCAGATTGTGACATACCAAGAATTCTGTGGAGCCCAACACAGATGGTCTGGTCATTTGTCTATTGTTAAGGAAAGGAGGTTGTTCTTTCATGCTAAAGAGGGCAGATAAGTTCTATGCTGGGGAAGCAACACTAGGTAGTGTCCAGGATCAAGGAGCTCTCCCCTGCCGTTATATGACACTGTAGAAGTGTATGTGAGAGCAGCTTCACCAATCTCATGATAAGACTGTGTAGAAATATCAAGAGCAGAAGAATACATTATAAAATGTTCCATTACAAAACACATGGCAAAGGCTTGAGCAGCTTGTGAACTCAGGAGAGGAAATCCAAAACATGCCCTGTGTGAGGGTTGAACTTACAAACTTCAGATTTTGAGACTGATGAACTGCCAGCTCCACCAAAGCTAACTGGGCTTTGAAACACTGCCACAACGGATCCATGCAAGACAGTGTTAAAGTTATCCTAAGTCATTTTCAGTTTCTTGATTTTCAAAAAGATTTAATGTAAAATTGCCCAGGGTTCATGCTGTCTCACATATATTTCAATGTGTAAAGGCAAAAAGCAGATATAATAAATAAAACTGTAAAATTCATCTGCATTTGTGGAATAGATAGAGGGAATTCTTTATTTAAATTTCAGTGTGATAAAAGCTTTGTATTTGCTACACAACATACACTAATAACTATTGTACCACACTACAGCTCTGTGCCTGAGGGTGCAAAAACCACACAATGCTGATATTAGTTCATGAGGACAAGACATTATTAAAACATAAACCTGGCATTTCAGTTCAGTGAACACTTGGTCCTGTGAGCTGGATTTTGGCTGGTTTGTTACAACCTTAAACTGGCATGAATACAACAGGATCAGAATTCAAAAGAGAAAAAGGATAAATAATGCACATTACAGAAACAAAGAAAAGAAAACATGGAGGTAGATACTTGATGAACTCAGAATAGCAAATTATGTCAAAGCCATGCACAGATGCTTGGAGGGAAAAACAAGGCATTTAAACAATATTTATAATGAAAATGTATGGGAAAAACAGCTACTGTGATTATTTTAACGGTCAAATTTAGAGGGTGCTTTTTGTCTTTTAGATTAAAGATGTTTATCAGGCATGCACTAAACGCTGAAATTACTAACAGGCTGCTGGACAAAAGTTCGACATGAGGTATATAATCTAAACATCATATGCATAAAAACTAACTTTTAATTCATCACTATTTAGATCAAACACATGGCAGTAGAGAACAAGCACCAAACACCCAGTTGTAGTCAATAAATCTGACTTATTAGAGGTTGAGATCTTATTCAACTCAGTTCTTCATTTTCTCTACCATTTGCCATTTTGCAACAATTTATGTTTTCTACAAGTAAAAAACATTACTGTTTGCCTCTAAATGCTTGACACACTTTTTTGGTGAACCTATTTAATATGTGCTTTGTGTGTGTACTGTGATTCTTGTGATGCTTCACTAAAAATAATGGCAAGCAATTAAGCAACTATAGTATTTTACATGCAGATCCAAACGAAAGGAAGATTTAAAGCAGAGGAAACAAAAAATGGCATCACTGAAGCTTTCTCAGGACAGTTTCACCATCAATCACAACATGAACACTGAGTTAAGGATGGAATGATTAATGCGTTTTTACTAGGACACAAGCATAAACAGGGAGTGTACTGAGAGACACAGTCATCGATTCCAGACTGCCAAAACAACAGAAAATGAAAATATGTCAACCACAATAATGACTTTTCAAAGTGAAAATGCACCTAACATTTCAGATTATTATTTCTCATTTACTTTTTTAATTCTCTTGTTCTGGCAGTTGGTTATAAGCACAGAAAATAAACAGCCACTTTCCAGGAAGGAGGAGAGTAGCCATGAGCTCAGTTTTTCAGGATGGAGTCATACATCTGGTAGATGTACTGAGAAACTTCGGGAGCCCGACACTTCAGAGAGAGCTGGGGAGAAAAAAAAGAAAAAAGTAACAATGTCATTTTTAACATCTATTTTTAGGGGGAGGGGGCTCTGTATTTATAGCTTAGTTCATTTGTAAAACAGAAAGGAAGGTGCCAGAACTAGAGAAGGAACAAAAAACAAAAAAAAAACTATTGTTAGAATAAATAGTAGTAAAACTTCAAAAGAAACAAATACAGTGGACCCCCAGTGTTTGTGCTGCACCACCTGCAGATATCCAAAATAGGCAAATACTTACGACCCTTTTCTAGAAACACACATCAGTACATTTATAGTCGGAATCTACTACTTTTTACAAAAAGAACAACACACAACTCTCAGACATACGAGTACTTTGCTGCTTCTTTCAGGTTAGACCTTGACGGTTGGTTTATATGCAGCATCGCTAATCAAAAATTAACAAATAACTTTGCAGGAAATACAAATCAGTTCCTAAAAATAAATCTCTGTATTGACATATACATGTATTCTGTACCGTATAATTGGGGTTCCCTGGTTGAATGCGGAGCTCAGCCAGGATCCAAATGCCATTGGTCAACTTGAGTGACTGGTACAGCATGTCCTGGCCTTCCACGTTTCTTTTGGCAATGGTGTAGACGTTGTTATTCTGTAGTTTGCCAGACACTGTGTCTGTAAGACCAGAATCAAAATCAGTCCATATTATGAAATATCTTAACTTATGAAGCTTGAAGTAATAATAAACTAAGGAAATAAACAAATACACAAAAACAAGAGGCTAAAACAACTAAGTAAACCAACATTTTGTCAAAATTCATCTACTGCTACAGGGTCAACTAGCTCTTAGAGGATTTTATTGAATATCTATTAGCAACCTTCAGATCACAAGGTTCTAAATCTATCTCATATTGCAAGCCACCATGGGCTGTTATGGCTGTGAGAGAAACGGCACAATTAACAGCCCTTCTACATGAAACAAAAACAAAGAAGTTGAACAGATTAGACAAAAAACAAAGTATCCAAAGGTGAGCATGTGGGTGAAAGAAGAAAAATCAGAAAGTAAGATTTTAGACTTAACACGAGACAGGACCTAAAAATGGCATTATATGACAAATGAAGAATTAATTACAGTAACTGAGCAGAATATCTTAAAAATTCAGGATCAGTAAAACCACAGAAGAATTCAAACTTTAAATCTGCTGTTAATGTAAGTCTTGGAGATTCACAGAGAAATCAGTTATTGATTACACTCGGTGGAGTTTCAGGTTGATCAGCCCTGACCAGCGACCAGATCAAAAACCCGATCTTTTTCTAATCTCTAAACCCGTCGCACTCTTCTGTCTCCCTGCGCCAGCATAACTGGCTGAGAACATCTTCCAGTTGTGGAGAGGCCTGCTGACGAAACATTTCTTGGATTCTAGTGAACTGAGCCATAGAAACATCTAAAACCTGAACCTCGACAGATACCACTGTTCTTGACTCAAGTTTGCCGGTATTAATGCTAACCACGCCAATGACCAACACATAGCTGTGCTTCCATTCTAAATGTGCGCAAAACTGCTGATATTCCACTAAAGTAGAAAAAACACAATTTTGCAATTGTGGTGTTTCCTACAAATAAGAAACATATTTAAAATTACACATCAATAAGTTTGTTCACGCAATGTCGTCAAAGAACGTACTGCGCCATCACCTCCATCCACTCCACATCATCTTCTTTGTCTTTTCCTTCAGGAGTAACATCTGGTTGTTGATTACATGACTTGTGTGATGCGAAAGAACTGTTTCCATTGCACTAGTTTTAAATAGACTATTTTTAAAAGAGTTGAAAAACCACCTTATCCAAGAGCAAAAACTTTTTACCAACAAACGTTCTTTCAAAATCGGTATGTTTTCATTAAGAAAATTCAATGGAAATGCAACTTAAGATGATAAAGACATCTTTAGCTAATTTTGCTAAAAACCCTGAAACATCGAGTCGGCATAAGCTGAACTAGCAAGAACTAATGTTTGAAATCAGCTGCAAAACTCTGTTCAGTGCATCTTTGATAAAGGGCCTCCAGTATTTACTATAAAACTCAAAATGTGCAAAGAACTAAAATGCAAACAAAACATGGATGGCAGTGCCTACCAGCATTAAGGTGACAATCTTTGATCTGGTACTGGAGTTCATTCTCATTGGGAATGTCCTTCCAGGTCGCCAGAAACACCTGTCGCTCTGAAAACAATAAGACACAGTCATCAATATAGATCTTGATTACTTTATAAGATGATCCAACATTTGTAAGGAAGATGTAAGTTTTCTTACCATTTTAGGCAAGGTGTACACATAAGAGTTAATTATTACTTTTAAATTAGATAAGATTGAAATTTCTGGCTATCTTTAAGCATCTCTTGAAATTATAAAATTTGATTATACTGTGCTTCACTTTCTGGATCTCAGAGATGATTTCAGTCCACACTCTATAGAACATGTATATATTTTTACTTCTTCATTAATTTAGTATTTTCAACAAGAATGATTAAATATGTATTGCTGTCTATTGCACTGCATCAGCAAATTGGATAAAATCATACCCATTTTTCCATCTTCAACAAAGAATATATTCAGAGGGATGAGGACGCTGAAGTAGAACACATCAATGTTGTTCTTTACAGCCACCTGTGGACAAATAAACAGAGGAGAAAGAGCATTAGACGACAATTTTGGAGACTACAGAGCACAACTGTGTAATAAACATGCATCTTCAAACATAAAATTAAAAATAAGAAGTTACATTTTCCTGTTTTCTGTCCAGCACATTACTTTATGAGTGAAGTTCAGTTTGCTAAATGAATAAATCTTATCTAATAAAAGTTATCCTTAGATTCAAAAACTGCTGTTTCACAATATAAATCACCTGTGAAACTCAGGGACAAAATCCAGCCCACCATAGCTTTTTATATTATCATCTAAATCAGTGGTCCCCAACCCCCGGTCCGTGGACCAATTGGTACCCGGCCGTGCAAGAAATAATTAAATCTTTCCGTTTTATGTATTATTTGAGTCTGGAGAATCTTTTATTTTGAAAATCCTTTAACCGGATTCTCTCGGTTACTTGCGCGCCAACACTGAGCCACAAACATCAAAATGATTAAGAAACAGATCAGATGTCTTTGGAAAGTTTCTTTGCAAAGGGGAAAAGGCCCAGAGAAGAGACAGGAGGATGGATTTATTCCGGACCGGTAGGTGAGTCAAACATTACAAGCCGCTCTGTGTAACATGCGGCGACCAGCTGCTAATGAAGCATTGAAGCTTCAAACTGCTTCACCTCGTAGAGACCAAGCAGGCTGTGGATATAAGCAACACTTCTGGTGTCATTGTCTCCATCACTCCCAGATGGGACCGTCTCGTTGCAGAGAAACAAGCTCAGGGCTCCGTTAGTCATTATCGTGAGTTAAAATTTTCACGAAAGTAAAATGTTCGTTTTGTGGCGCATCTGTATCTTATTTTGAAGGGATATGTAACCTGCGGTCGGTGGTCGAGATGAGATGAGTAGAGCTTGTGAGTCTTAAGTCTGGTTTAGACGGCAAGATTTAAGAATTGTTGGCCGATTCTCCAATGACCTTTACATATAATAATAAACATTTCCACATATCATCTCTGATATCCACCAGACTCTCAGTTGCGTGATATGTCAGCTGTTAAGGATTCCCCTCTGTTCTGACGTCACCGCGCTTTCTGATTGGCTACCTGTCACATTCAACAGGTTGTATTCTCGTTCCCAGTCAGTGTAAACCCCACAGGCTGCGATAAAAGGGCCAAGACAACCCAAATAGGGTATATTCAGGCTTTAGCTGGAACACCAACATGCAGAAGCCTTATCTGACGGTTCCCCCGGGCTGCAGCAAAATTTCCACAGCAAAAGTCTTGACCGGTCCACGGTAATAAAAAGGTTGGGGACCACTGATCTAGACCAGCGTTTCTCAACGGGGGCGGTACCGCCCCCCCCCCCGGGGGACGTTCAGAGGACGGCAGGGGGCGCTGGCGGAAACTTTTACAAAAGGAGGACGCTGGGATTCCTCTGGGGGATGATTGCTCGAAGGTAAACTTTACACTTTAAATGCACAACAATACCAGTTTAGACTTTGAGCAACTTGGTAAAACATGCTTGACTGCAACTGTATCGATGGCAGCTCTCTTTCTCTTCAGTATTTGTAAGCTTTTGGCGCAGCTCTGCTCCTGCTACTGGTAGCTTCACCGCATCAGTTCAGCATTACACTGGCTGATGACGTTGCTGTGATTCACTTGCCTGTTGTCTGATTTTCAAATATTTTATGTTTTTTGTTTGTTTTTTTGTAATTATTTTTTTAGTTAGAAAGACAGAATTCCATCACATTTGTTAATTGCAGCTTTACCCATTTAAGTTGTACATGAGGATAGAAGCGGAGAGTCCAAGTAATTTTGTACATACTGCCTTTCTGGTATTTTCTTTTACAGACCGTTTCTAATTTTCGTTTTGAACGATAACAAAAATGAACAAAACTGAACAAAAATGGGGATTGCACCAACTCGAGCAATAAAAATCACATGAACATAAAAGGGCAGGACACATAATTCACAAGAATAATCAAATGAAGTCAGATCTAATTGGTTTTACATACTCAGTC